TCTTCTCCATCGGGCTCCTCCCCGCTGTCGGACCCACTCTTGCTCTCATCATCATCATCATCATCGGAAGCCAAGGCTCCAACATTGACTTTAAGCTATTTAGCCCTTTTTATCTCTTCTGTAAGATCAAAACCTCGAGCATGGATCTCCTCAAGGGTTTCACTCCGAGATTAGCATCGGGCGAGTTCAACAATCCAATGTGCTCGAGTTTGAGCGGTCTAGGTTGCCTCTCTCGCTTGAATCTGAGCGGCATCAACATTGGCCCGATAGACGGCCACGAATGCATCCGTATCGGCCTTTGCTTTTTCTGCTTTAGCTTTGGCCTTAGCAAGTTCGAAAGCCAACCGAGCCTCGAGCTCCTCTATTTTCCTTTCTTGAACCGAGCTCCTCTCCTTTATGCCTTGAAGTAGACTTTCGGCTGATAATGACTGGGCTCTAGCAGTTTATTTTTCTGCAGCAAGGTGGTCCATGCCATCTTTCCACCCCAAGGTCTTCGCCCTTATCGTATCAACCTCCTCACGAAGCAGCCCGATCACCTCAAGCTTCTGCTACAACTGTGAGATAGAAATATTAGTCATCATTCCAGAATCGAGCCCGTGAGTTTTTAAGATTATCATTACCTGCTCAGTCAGGTCGGTCTGGTCTTGATGAGCCTTGGCTAACTCGGCTCGGAGCTCCCTGATTTCCTCTTCCTTTTGCCCGCAGAGGAGTTTAAGGGCGTTTCTCTCTTCATTGACCCTTCGGATGTTGGCCTCGTACCGACTCAGCTCAGCTCGAGATCGAGAACATGCTTCTCGATGAACCACTGAGGCCTACGAAGAAAGAAGAAAAGAAGTTAGAAAAGAAAACAAACATAAAGGTGGTACCAACGAAGGGAGTTAGAGCTTACCCGATTCAGAGCTTGTTGCACTTCATAAAAAAGGCCCGACGCCTCACTAGGGCCAGCAACATCCTCGACACCAGTAAACAAATCACGAAAGGGGTCCTCCCTTTCGTGAGACCGGCCTACCTCGAGTGTCCCCAAAGCTTGGGCTTTTCGAATCGCCCATTCGAAAAAAGTGGGGAGAGTAGGCGAGTCTCCAATTACTATTTCCCCAAGTGAGTCGCTTGGGGCATTCTCTTCGGTTCTGAGATGTTCAGGGCCGGCCCCTTCAGATATATCTACCATTTGTTGACTTCAGCGGGAGGCATCCTTGATCTCCAGCAACTCGGGGACTTTGCCCGAACCCTTCTCCGATATCCCCTCAGTTCGAGGCAGAGGCGCATAAACCACCATCAATACAGCTGCCTTTGGGGCATCGATGGTTTTCTTCACTCGGGCCACCAGTACAGACCTATTGTCTTCTTCCTTTTCCTCGTCTTCATCCCTTAGATGCCGAACTGATTCTTCGGTCAAAGGGATGGTATTCTTCCTCGGCTTACGAGCTACCCTTGTCTTTGGTTGTGGATCCTCGGAAGTAGATACCCGTTTTCTCTTATGGGCCTTCGCCGGTTTCGGGACCCGGGTCGGCGTCTCTTCCTCACCAGACGGGGGCCTCAAAACCGCATATTTTCCCAAGCCTACACACAAGAAAATTGGTTATGTATATGGAAAACATTTCATTTGAACTATCAAAGACATGAGAAAAAAGCTTACCATGATTTTTGGCCTCCCATCGACCCTTTGAAAAATCACGCCACGAGCGCTCGACGTATGTAGAGGTCGAAGCCAGGTCCCGTACCCAGCTCTTAAAGTTAGGAATTGCGCCGGGCATCCAAGGAACCGCTGCATCGCAAAAGGGGATATCGGTGACAAAGAAACGAAGGGGCAAAACAATAGGAGATAATAGCAGAATTATACTCACGCTTCATGTTCCATTCCTCGGGAAATGACATATTTTCGGTCGGAATTAGGTCCGAAGTCTTCACTCGAACGAACCTTCCCATCCAGCCTCGATCCTTGTTCTCGTCTATGCCCGAGAACAACACCTTGGTAGCCTAACGCTGGAGTTTTATTAACCCACCTCGAAAGAGGCGGGGGCTGTACAATCTAATAAGGTGATCGAGGGTGAAAGGCATTCCCTCGATTTTGTTCACAAAAAAGCGAAACAGAATAATGATCCGCCAAAAGGAAGGATGGATTTGGCCTAGGGTTATTTGGTATTGACAGTAAAAATCGATGACAACAGGGTCGAGGGGGCCTAGCGTGAAAGGGTAGGTATACACACTTAAAAATCCTTTCACATGAGTAGTAATATCTTTCTTGGAAGCCGGGATTACCACTTCTTTGTTCTCCTAGCTGCAATCTTTCCTTATCTGTTCGAGATGCCCCTCGGTTATCGAGCACATATACCTCGATACTGTCTCGCATCGAACAGGAACTGACGAGCCTTTGTCGATCTTAAAATCGGAGGTAAGAACACATGCCCCGGGAACACACTCCTCAGGTCGTGACTCCACCGGTGTTTTGTCGGCAGCAGACTGTGAAAAAGAAGCATTTTCTTTTTGAGGAATAATTTTAGATGTTTTCGCCATTCTGGTTTTAAAGATCGAAAATAGAAAGAGATGACAAAGGTTTTTTTTAAAAAAAAAATTTTGCAGTGAAAATCACAGAAGAAAGATTTTGCAGTGAAAATCACAGAAGAAAGATTTTGCAGTGAAAATCACAGATTTATAGATGAACTCAGAATATGCGAGAAAGAACTTGGAAAATTTGGAGATCGAAGATGTAAAAGTGATAAATGGTGAAAATGGGGGCTATTTATAGATTGAGCAATGGCGGTGCAATATCAGCAGTGGCCGACAATTGTGTGACACGCATTAAATGCCTTGGTAAACTGAACCGATGGGACAGCTATCACGTACGTCGTGGTCGGGTTCGATGCAAATGTCAGTGTATATCTAATCGTGCCGTTGTAAAATCATGTCGTTTCTCGCCGCATCCTTCCCGAGAAATGAGGGGACTATCTGTAAACAGTCGGAACCGATTTCGGCCTTCGTACGACTGGTCGAGATGAGAACATAATGGACCGAAGAAAGTCTTCATAATATCGAGATGAGATCCGAAGAAGGTACAAATGAGTTTCGAGTTTCAGGGATAGATCAAATACCGAGCTCGAAGTCATTATCGAGCTCGAATCCAAATCGAATTATGAGGAGAAGCGATGGAATCGAGCTTAAGAGCCAGAGGTCAGTCAATAACGAGCCCAAGTCAATACCGCACCCCGAGTTAATATCGAGCTCGAGCCCACATCGAGCTCTAAGCCTGAAAATCGACCGATACCAAGTCCGATCAAGATCGAGCTAAGAGACAAGAGTTGTTACAACCGTACTAAGAAAGGGAATCTCGGCGGAAATTAGGGAAAAACTGATTTATCATGGGTTCCCACTATGTATTTTTTTTATATCCAAAGTAGGATCCCTCCACTATAAGAGGGATGATTATTATTCCTGCAAGAGGGAATCAAGTCATTAATACACTGTAACTCAAATATCGTTGATACATTCCCACATTAAGAGATTATCCTTTTGAGCTTCATACATAATTCCATTTTGCTTGTTCATAAGTCATCTTCCTTTCAACTCGGTTTGTATCTTTTCTTTATAGTCAATATTCGATACTTCTACTTACTCTTACGATTTGTGTCAAGCTATACCACATACCCTTAGAACTACGTACAAATTCAACTCATCCGTTTTTCGGGTAAACACTCATCAATTCATTTTCCTCCAATGGGAGAAAAATATTTTCCCTGTCAAAAGGAGGGAAAATATNACCACCCCAACCCCCGAACTAAGTATTTTCTTTTCAACAAACTAAGTATTTTCTTTTCCTTAAATAGAAAAAATATTTTTGTTCCAACAAAGCGAGTACTTTCTTTTCATGATGAGAAAATATTTTCTTTCATTTCAACAAAAAAGTACTTTCTTTTCATGCCGTAGAAAAAGTATTTTCTCATTTTAACAAAATGAGTATTTTCTTTTCATGATGTAGAAAAAATATTTTTTTCTTTCATTCAACAAAATGAGTAATTTCCTTTCATGTGGTAGAAAAGATAATTTCTCTTTCAACAAAATAAAGTATTTTCTTTTTAGTTATCAAGCTCAAATTTTAACGTTGGTCTTGTGTGAAAAAGTAAAGTAGCACATTAGTTCCTTTGGTTTTGTATGAATTTTGAAAAAAATAATTAAATTCAAACCCGAAAAAATAAGTGATAAAATCACTCATTTTCCAGAAAAATATTTTCTAGTAAAACATTTTTCATGGAAAACATTTTCCTTCGTACCAAACACACCCTTAGTCTCTTCTCTTTCTCTAATCATCTTGTCTAACTTTTCTTGCATCATGCCGCATGTGTTGTGCTTGAAATGGCTGGATGGATATCTATCAGAATTTCAACTTTCAGTTCTTCAGAAGAAAACGGAACACTCAGCCTACTACTGCAACACAAGGGGCAATGCATCCCTTAAGTTGAAACTTCTGCTTCTTGGATACCTTAGAGCTTGACAAGTGAAACAGAACTCTGATTTGAAGGAGGGATGTTAGGGAACAACAATCATTTATGCAATTCGGAAGTGGGTCTTACATTATCATCTCTCAACATTAATGAGCCTGTGAAGATCACCAGGGATATAGGGAACCTTCTTTTTGCTCATAAAGCTTGTGAATTGTCATCATGATGTTAATTAGGTAATCTTGATTTCCTTTATAGCTTGTATTAGGTGGCAGGCACGCTTTACAAGCTATGGTTGAAAACAGATGTATCACCTTTCTTCACAATTAAACACCATTCAAATAAGATTGAAGAAACAGAGAAGGTGCGTAAAGGCGAGAACTTTTGATTGTTTACACATGCTAGTTAGAACCAGGACGAATGTACAAGTTGATTTCAACAATTTGGAAAAGCTCTTTGTGGTAGTGTGAGAGTGAAATGGCTGCAGAGGGATAATATTCAAGTTGATGATGAAACATAGGTTGGACATCCTGTTGTAGAAACCACTTGGCCTCAAGACACAAAATCTCCTGCACAATGGGCTTTACTAATCAACCAATTGAAATACAGGAGCGGTCTCCATCTGGAATACCTTATAAGAACATGGATTTGATTTAAAACCTATAGTTCTACTGAAATCATGTAGAACAATTACACAGCATGAAGTTCTAAGTTAGAAAAACGTGAGAAACGGGGTTAGAAACCGTGCTTAATAACACGAGACACCCTCTCGAAGAAAACTGGACACATATTTGGGCCGAACATGATTGTATCCCTCATCCACTCAGGGGCCACTCTCTCACAGGTCCCCAGTGACAGCATGCGGTACACCAATTCTAGTTCTTCAGATGCATTCTTTATCAACGTCAAACTAAAAGAAAGTCCTGCACAAACCAAAAGGATGACTTTCAGAATGTAAGTTCCAAAAGCGCACAGCTGTTATTAATGAAGAATATATCTGAAATTTGGAGTGATTAAGTTCACTCAAAAAAAACACAGAAGAAACAGGAAAGCACCACAGAGCTCAAAAACAACGATATCACACTTCTTCAACGCATACAGTAATGAGACAATTATACTGTCTTGTAATCCACAATACAAACATAGGGCAGCTCTTCCTTGTCAGTATGTGTGAACTAAAAAGAGGCAAAGACCATAAAGCACATTACATGAAAACCTCAAGAAGCTCCTGAAACATAGTAGTCTGGCTAGATGATCAAATGGACTTGCAGGTAATTCACACCCAGAGACCCCATTATTCTATCTTAATCCCTATTAGCACTCTGCATGTGTGAGAATATCACACCACATCATTATTAAAGAAGAACAAAGGGAAAATTGGATAATTCAAAATTCTGATTCATCTAATGAAGTTCAACATTAAATAGCTAGCTTATAAGGGGACTAAGTGCTACCATTCTAATTTAGTGATTTCTAAAGATTAAAAACATCCAGTCCAGCCCGCTTTAGATCAGCTAAGTTCATTCAGTGGAAAATCTGATTGATTTTCAAAGCCATATTTAAACTAAAATAATCTGATGGTCGAATTGTATTTGACCAAAGATAATTAACTCGAAGATGTAATTACAATTGAGTGCACTATGGTAGCAAATCTAAAGTGAGACTTAAGTGACAATCATTTAGCTCAAAATTTACACCATTAAACGTATAGAAGTTCACCACTCAAACAATCCCTGCTAGGTCATTATACAGCAGCAGTCAGTAAAATCACAAAAATGAAATTTAGGTGGCATTTGGTTCAAATTTTTGAAACAGGGTTTTTGCAACAACAACAAAAAAAACGGTCAACCAAACGCCAAGAAAAAACTTTTCAGTTATCGCAGATAGAAATGAAACTAAAGATGTAAAAATCAAATAATTTCTTATAAACCATCTAGGTTTCTGATTATTAGGGAGCACCATTTCATGTTTCGCTGACTAGCTTCTATTTCCAGACCCCGCTTATGGGAATATACTGGGTATGTTGTTTTGTTGACTAGCTTCTATTAATTGAGGCTGTTGTTCACATTATCTCTTGACTCCCCTTCACAAGACAAATTAATATTAACAATGCATCTTAGGACCCGTTTGACCATAGATTTTGCCAAAATAAATTTGGGTTTTATTTGGCAAACACATGTTTGGCCATAGATTTTGCCTACATTTTGGCAAAATCCCAAAACCAGCTCAATAGCTAGTTTTGGGCCAAAATATCATTATTACATTTTTTAAAAATTACCCCAAACTTTTGTACTTTATAAAAGAGCCCACCATTTATTATTTTATAACAAGGTTGCTTCGTCTTCTCGGTCACCTGATGTATCATGTAGTTCATTATAAAAATGATAATTTTGTATCAAATTTATTTATGTCCAGGACTATGGTTTACAATAATATAATGAATGTTATTGATAATGGTACTGTTGGATATTTGTGATAGGTTTTAGAACTTGTGGGTATAAGTCATGTTTCATGTTTTTCCAAAATAAATTTGAGAAATATGTTTTAAAAACTGATGTCCAAACACATTTTCATCTTCAAACCAAACTTCACCCAAATCAAATTTTTCAGAACAAATTTGGGAATCTATGGCCAAACACTAGCTTAACGACTTATTCCCAAATTTTTAATTTATACAAGCTTTAAAATTTAGTTTTCAATTTAATTGAAAGAAGAAAAAACATAGCAAAGCAGGAAAAATAAAATAAAATAAAATGGATATACTGCCAACTAGTTATTTATTAGGTCAAATTTATAATTTAGAAAAGAAGCAACAATTTTAGGCCAAATAAAATCAAATAAGGCAAATTTTCGAAAACTATTGAAACTTGAATAATGCCTCTGCAAATTCCAAAGATTTCGGCAAGGATTATAACATATCTACAAATTAGGCAGTAGAAAATGGAATTGAAAAGGAGGAAAGGGGACAGAAAAAAAGAAGCAAGATCCAGGACTTCAGAGTTCCTCCAGAAATTACCACTTGACTCATGAAGCGCTGAGATGCATAATTCTTCATTTTCCGTCACAGTAGAAAATTTCATACCGAGTAGCCACTGAAAAACGTCTTGGAAGATGCACTTGGTTGGAGAGATGTCAGCTGCACCATCACCTAAAATATCACATCCAAATAGTAGTTACATAAGAGGAGATACTACAGACTTAAAACAACAATTAACAGTTGGGACAAACCTGAAATGTCAGCATTTCTTCTACAGCAAGCAGGCTGAAAAATATTGTCAGATGGTCAGCACAGTAAAATCCCAACTCAGCTCTACTGCATAAACTAGCATATGTGATAGAAATTGGAGAGTAGCACTGACCTCAGTGTACCTATATGAACTCGTACTAGGTTGTGCAAGTCCAGTTGGAAGTTCTTCCCTGGGAGACAGTGAAACAGAGTCTTGTATGCTAGGCAAAGACTGCCTACGACGTTTCTTGTTTGCTATGGTTGAGCCATCCAATGCATCTGGAAGAGAATCTCCAACAGTAATAATTTGTCTGCTTTCTCCTTTATCAGTGCTAGCATGGAAACCAGATCCCTCTCGGTCATGTTGTTGAAGTCTCTGAATTTCATCACTAAGTTCTTTAACTGCAGCATTAGCAATAACTATATAATTATATGGATTTCAAAATTGGACATTTATTCAACAGAGCGGCTGAATACAACTATTATCTCCAAAAGTTCAAACAGACAGCAAAACCAGCATAAGAAACACTAAAATCTCTACAGAAACGCAATACATAGCTGCCTTTACACAGAAATAAGTGAAGCTTTGACTAATGCATGATGACTTTGCTCGAGTATCCCACATTGGATGAGGGAATCAGCTATAGCCATTCTTCACTTTATATGTTCTTGGTAATTCTCACCTCAAGAACTAGCTTTGGACTACGGACATAATAAGAATTCTACCATGAATCGAACTTCCATAGCTAATTAAAAAGTTCCCAAATTTATCCTTACTCTTCAGGTTGTCTTCCATCAAAAGCTTTTGGTATTGAATCTTCTCGTCATCTTTGGCAACCCTGCATACAGGTTAAGTACACATTTATATTCTTTTCAATATTCTTATTCAATTAAGCAAGCCTTTCCCAAGAGTGGACACCTCATTGATGCCATTTCACTCCTCAACGCGTTGACTTGTTCGCGTAGTCTGTCATTTTCACTTCTCACGAATTCAATCAGTTGTTCGGCAGCTGGAAGAAACAAAGCTGCATGTCAAGCCTTCAACCAAGTTTCAGCCTCAATGTAATTAAAGATGGGGCAGCTATGAGTTCTCCAAGTAATAAATTTTATCCATAATTTCTTTAATTATTGGATACATATCAAGGTAAGCAGTCAAGTATCAACATACCAGCCACGTAATTCACAAATTTCAGCTCTTGTTCCATATTCAGGTTCTCCATATCCGTGTCTTTTTCTTTCTACCAAAAAATTAATGAAAAATCATACTCTTAGTAAACAGGAAAAGACAGCATAGTTCAAAAACAAATGTAAAAATAAAATTCGAAAAAAATGAACACGGCAAAAATCTGCAAATACCTTGAGCTTAGTGTACTTGCTGTAGAGCTTGCTATAAAGGGCCTCCATCTAAAACCAAAAAGGTAAAAATCAGAAAAGCCGTAGAAATGATAACCCTAACATTAAGAATTGAAGATTTTAGGGTGAAAATAAACATGTAAAGCTGAATTCAGGAATAAAACCTTGGCCGAAGAAGCTGACATCGGAAAACTAGGACTGGAAGAGATGTGTTGTTCAAAATTCAAATCAAATGGCGATTTCGAGCGACAAGTTTTGGCGGGAGATATGCGAAATTCCAAAATTGGAGGATTGGGTTCTTTATACTGAATGAATTTTGAAGCGACTTTCCGTCTGGGTCTCGGGTCGGGTTAAAGCTAATTTATGGCGTACTAAACGCTGCGGGGTTGACTAATAAAATGGACATCCAATCTCTTGGATACAATTAGGGATCTAGGAGGAGAGTACCCGAACCGGTATCGGTCCCGCTCCGTACCGGTCCAATTTGGGGATAGCGATAGCCGATAGGGGATTTAGGAAAAGGAAACGGGGATTAGGAGGGTACCGAAAATAGTACCGGTAGAACTGTGTGCCCTTAATGCTCTTTTTCTTTTAAAGGCATCCGTTCTTGTATTGGGAACAGCCAAAAATGTCTATTTTTGCCTCCCTAGCCCCCTAACACTCTTATCCCCTAATTTATAATTTAAATCTCTAAGTTTGTTCAAATACATTTTGGCTCTATTTTAAAACTATAAATAACCTCATTTTATTCTTTCAATTTTCACACAAAACTCCCCTATCTCTCTATCTCTCTCATTGCAATTAATGTTCTAGCATTATTATTAACTTTCGAATTTATTTTTATTATACTTGTGTTGCTATTTGTTATTATTTTAATTATTTATCATTAAAAATAGCTCCTAAACTGGTAAAAAAACGTGTAATTGATTGACTAATAGTAATGTTAAAAGAGAAGTCCTTGTTTTGAAACAAATCCTAACCATCCCGGGTTTATTCGTTACATATAAGAAACATATAGTCATGATTTTCAAGGTTTTCCTAAAAGAATTGTTAGAAATAATGTTTGCGATGATGAAAGAAATGAAGACTTGTTGAAATGCTTGAGTAAAGCGGAGAGAAGAAACTTTGGCCTTATAAACAATAATTGAAGAAGACGATGATGCCTATAGTAAAATACTATCAACCGAAGATAGCGAGGACACATAAGAACGAGTGCTATCAATTTCAATCGAAGAACCAATAAAAGTTATTAAAAAATTCGTAAATCATTCAAAAGAAATATGTAGTTTTAATTTTATAAGTATTGAAATAGAAGTATTTATTTTTTTTCATCCACTAAAGTTTGTTTGTATTTAAATATAATATTTAAAACAAATTAATTTAAAAATACCCCTAAGTACCCTTATTGCCTCCTTAAGTACCCCCTTAGGACTGGTACCCCTAAAAATATCCTTATCACGTACCCTTAATCCCCACAGTACCCTTAAGGAATCCTCCTCTTATCAGTATCACCCAGAAGCCAATCCCCTTAAGAACCCAGTACCCTCCCTTTAGACAATCCTATATACAAATGACCAGATGTGAATTGCAAATAAAATTCACTGAAAATTGAAAAATGAATGATAATTGAGAAATAAACTTGACTAATAAAATATCACATCAAAATATAAACCTGAATTGTTAAACAACTTTAAAATATTAAAATATTTTGAAAGTTCTATGCTTTGCATCAAATATTGTCAAAAGCAATACAAAATCGAACTGTATGATAGAAAAAATAGGGTAGAATGCTCCAAAAATTTTAAAAGGTGTTACGGGACGAGGATAATAATTTCGAGATCGATTTTGGTGATTGTATTTATCTCATGTTTAGTTATATGTACTAGCTAGTCTCACAATAAATTTTGCACTAAAATGATGAGATTAGCTATCCCATATAAATGGTAAGGCAGCTAATCCCATGAGCTATCCCACCCTATGGGATATCCTTATTTATCACACCATTGCACCAAACAACCCATAAATTATTTGCAATGGGTGTTTATACCAACCCCAAAATACATTGCACATATCTTCATAAACAATTAATTTATTAACGCTTATGGTGTTTATCAAATATATTATAAGCTACATTGTATAAAATAATTTGGCCAACTTATAAGCTTACTCAAACACACCTTACTCATTATCGTTTGGACTCTGTTTGACCCAAAAATTTAGATCTGGGTTCAACCAATTAAATTTAAATAAAATAGAGTCAATCTTAGCTAATATTAATATCCAAAAGACAAGGTTATCGATTTTATGGCAGATAGTATGTATATTTGATTGAATGGCAATAAATGTGAGCAATAATAATAGTATTCAATGATCCAAAAAAGGTTAAAGATAGCATTAAATAATAATAAGTAGCAATGAATGGCATTTAAGTAAATAAAAACGTGTGAGTCACCCGAAAAGGGGTAAAATTTATAGATATTCTTTCTGCCAATGATGAATTATTGATGAGCCTTTCAACACTCAAGTTGTTCTTGGATCAAACGGAAAAGTTAGACAAGAATCTTAGTAAAAATGTTCTTTTCGTGTGCTTGTAAGATGACAAGATTTTCTCTATAAAGTCAATGTATTTTCTTACAAGTGAACATATCATGTCCCCTATCATTGTGTCTCTTTATATTTATAGGGAACATATTCCTAAAAAATCTAATAGTACAGGTGCAGAAAATATCCACTAGAATATTTTTTGTCTTATCTTAAAACTAGACGTTATAACTCTGTCTAAAATGCTCAACCTAGACTTTGATCTACGACGACTTCACGACTTTGATCTTCGCTGACTCTTCGACCACACCCTTCATCGCCTCAAGGACACTTCGACCTGGGGTAGATCTTTATTGAAATCTTACTGATAACACGTGGCGGCCGATGAAGGTTATTATGATGCTGACGTGGCCTACCTATATCAAATGTATTTTTTGGCCCATACCGTTAGTCTCTCCGCTTGTTGAGGTCGTCCTCGCGGGCGAGTTCTATGAGCGGAAAATGTCGTTTGTGGTCGAGCTTATCGAGCAGACTATACCAGTCATGGTCATTGTAACAATCAGACAACGTGGCTCTCTATGGGACGTTTGTTTCAAATTCCTTGAATTTCCCGAGTAATTTGTTGGAGCCATCTGGTCTAAGATAAAGAGTGATGTCATAACGTCATGCGTCATGATGACGACGTTTCCCGACATATTGCGTCGATTCATGTGTGACCGTTGATTGGTTCTGCCGTTTCGATCTTCGTGCTAATCATGGCCTACCGACTCGATTCTGGTGCCCCCAAACCTTATAAATAGGGGGTGATTTGCTGATTTTGAAACTTTTCCTATATTCCTTCTATTTCATAAGCAAAGCTTCTCCTTCTCCTTTGTAGAACCTTTTCACTTCTCTGTTGCTTTCTCTGCTTCTTTATCTCTTTCCACAACAATGTCGGATCTCCCATCAGATATCCACATGGAAGATCATTCTATTCATCTAGATGTCGTTTTCCCTGATCAGGGGAAGATGTCGGAGTTTCCGTTGAGGAGGAAACCATCCCTACTGTAGAGGAGATCGTACCTCGATACCCTGATGCTAAAACCGACTTCTATAAAGCGTTGAAAGTGGTGACAAAGAGGTTCAAATCTACGATGACAGTTGAGCGATTAGCCGAATTCAAGGTTAGGTTCGGCCTCCCTGATCACGTGGAGTTGGTCCCTGTGGGTGACGACAAAGTGCAGCTTCATCATCCCGGATTCTGCGCCGTTTATGTATATCCATTCATAATCAACTATTTATTCCCTTTGCCATCGTTGATAGAAGAGTTGTGCCATTATTACAACGTATGCCCAGCTCAGCTTGTCCCTTACATCTTTAAGGTAGTCAAAATGTTGACAAAATTTGCTGAATTGGCTGACATCGATATAATAGTACACCACCTAATCCATCTCTTCGCCGCTCATTTCTATCGAGGGTCGTTGCTGAATTTTCACCACTGTGGGGGGAAATGTTTGGTGGTGAGGAAGGACGATAAGACTAGTCGGTATTTCTGGCTTGACTATTTCTTTGTCAGGATCGTGGCCGTAGTGTCCGCCGCCATTGGCTTCCCTGAGGCTTGGAACCCCATTTGTAAGTGCTCGTATTCATTTTTTTTGTTGATGTGGGTTGGTTAATAAACTCTTCATTTTCTGCAGCTACTATTAGACCTCTCTAGATAGTGACCCATATTGTCGACTGGGTCAGGCAGATCCTTCCTTATACGGCGGGGATATATGACTGGTCGAGTTTCTCTCAGAAATTCAAACAGTCTCTTCCCTTGGCGGGTAATCCCTTCTCTACTTTCGGCGTCGTGGTTTCTTACGTATATGTCTGTTCCCTTTTACTGATTTCTTCCTTTACAATTTTTCTCTAGGTTCGGTCAGAGGGTCTTCTAGGAGGTCGAGGGCCCCCAAACCCTTTTTCTAGAAGAAGAGGGCCACTACGCCTTCATTCTCCTCCCCCGCCTCGACCATTAACACTCCTGCCTTCATCCCAACTCTAGTCATCATCGCTTCTACCCCATCTCTTTTCCGACCATTGCGACTTCTGCCCCATCTCTATTTTTACTTATTAACAAGGACGATGAACATTTACCCAGCGACGGAGTCCCTCTAGCCATTGGTGCTGTGGAAGGGGATTTTACGCTGCGTGAGATAGCAATAATTTTTGTGAACAATGATGTTGAACCGAGTCTTGAGGCCCCGAGGCCGGTGGAAGCTGATGTAGGCGCGTCTCTGTATTTCGATAGGAGGGTGACCGAGGAGGCGGCTGCTGGTGGCCATGAACTTTCGAGGCATGAGGAGGGTGTAACCTCTCGAATAGTCGTGGACGCTTCTTTGCCTACTGATGATAGGGGAAAGTGTGTTGCTGAAGAGGGCGACGAGCCGGGTTTCGATGTCGATTTGGACGACCTGAGAATGATCGACGAGGGGATCACCCAGCTCGATGTGAGGTTGGAGGGGGGTTCAAGGACTATCACTATCCCGATGGATCGTGACTTATTGATGAACACTGAGGAGGTAGTCCCTGCTCTCGACCCTCTTTGTTCCGATGTTGAGGGTAAGACCCTCAAGGAAATAAATGACATCGCCATGTCAAAGAGCATTGATGGCCTTGCTCTCAGGGTAAGTATTGTTGTATGAACCTTTCCTAACTCTTTAGAACACTCTTAAGTTCTGTCACGACCCAAAATCCTTGAAAGGTCATGATGGCGCCAGACACCACTGTCAGGCAAGCCAACACCAATAATTAGTAAATTCTCATTTTAATATTTCTGAAATCGTAAATTTCCTTCAATTAAATAAAAAATGATGAACTTCACAGAATAAATAATAATGTTTTTTGCAAATTTCAATACTGAATAATCCTATAATCATCCTAGAACCCGGTGTCACAACTCACAAGAGCATGAGCATTTACTTGGGAACAAAATAAAATACAATAATTGTCTGGAATACAAATTTGGATAGAAAAGAAAATACAAATACTTTGAA